TGTTACACCTCATTTGGCTTCCAAAACTCCAGCTCCATTCTTGGCTTGCCCTAACTTGAGACAAGTCCCAAGCTTCTGCGGGCCTGGTGACCTTGGCTGGCTGGCGCCACTCGCGAAGCGAGCCTCCGAAGGAGGGACTTGTGACAAATACGCACAAGCTCGCGTGTCGCTGTTGACTGTTTTTGGTGTAGCGATTATTGGATCAGACACCATGAATGTAATAAAATTTTTCTGGCAGGCACACTCATCTTGGTCAAAGATGACCATGTTGCGGTTCTGCTCATCCAATATGTCATAACATTCAATGAGTAATATTTTTTTAAAACTATACAAGAAAATGAAAATTCCCCAAATCAAAGTTGAGCTTTGAAGCTCGGTACAAAAGAGAAGTACATACTTTTCTTACATAATCAAAAAAGTGTACTTTTTTTCAAAGATGCAGATTTCCATCGGCTGCATACATCCATCCATCACTCACCGGCACCTACAGACACCCTCAACAAAGTACATTACTCAAATTGTACGATGGAAGCGCCTCACGCAACGGATTCAGCTGAGACGGTGGACCCGACTGATAACAACAACTCAGGAAGCCAGAAAAACACTCTCCGATCAAAACTTACCCGCGTATATAGCTTGATGAACGACTTGAACCTCACTCCAAAAGACTTCCTGATTGGATTTTTACGTGATGAAGACATCCAGTTTGCAATCCATCGCAGGTTCTGGGCAACTCAAACGGGATGGCGCACAACCGTCAATGTTGTACATGCAATTCGAGACCTTGTCTGCAAGAAGAATACCGGAAAGAAACTCTGGAATGACCTCATTCTGTCTGAGGTTTGTGGTCCATGATTACAATCATTTAAAAGCCCCAAAGATAGAAAACTGATTTAATGAATATTTACAGGCATCACAAATTGTAGAGGTTCAAAAACCACCTGCACGCGCAAAAAACTACTACAGTTCAGGCAGCATAAAGCCAGAGCTCCTCACCGATGAAACTGACAGAGAAATCCGTGAAAAACACTTAGTCGAGGACTACATGCCCTTTCTGTTCCAATTAATTTCTCATAAGCTCAGCAAAACTGTGGCTGAACCATTTCCATCAAAAATCTTCAAACCCAGCAAACCAGACAACGACATCGACAGTGACAGTGGATTTGACAGCGACAAATCCAATGGCGAAGATGACAAAGATTCCCAACCTCAAGCCAAGAAACTTTGCCTGTTGCGAAAAAACCGAGTATATGTGGTGAGCAATTTTTCTTTGCTCTTTCAATAGTCTTGAATCTTACCTTTGAATCTTGATTAAAAACAGGTCTCCAGAACTATATGTAGCATGATTGCTTTTGTGCTTAATCGGCGTGACAATTCAGCGCAGCTTGCAAATTCTTTATCGGTCTTGGCATGCGGAGTGAGCAACCGAGTGAACAAATACCTTCACTACATTGGCCTTACGTCCTCGCGAAGAACCGCCCACAGATCGTTGAAGGAGTTGGGTTTGAGAGCCGAGGACAATATAGCTGAAAAACTCTCGAATTCCGAAAACGATCCAATCGCACCCTTCATTTGTATAGACAATCTTGATTTCGAGGAACGTATACATACAAAGTCGGTTGGAAACGATAGCCACACGTTCCATGGAACGTGGGGCTATATTCATCGACTAAATTCTGACCTTCTCACTTCAGTTCCAGCGGCCGATCTAACTCTTGAAAGCTACATTTTGGCGATGGAGAAGATCCAAGATGTTCAAGTTTCTCCATCTATGCTCCTTGGATCCGAAAAAGAAGAAGAACACTGGGACCTTGTCTTGAGAAGCCAGATTGCCAAAGTACTACTCGAGCATATTGCATCCCCATCAGACAAGACTGTAAAGATTCATACATCTCCACCAGTCATTGATGAAATTTCAAACGAAAAGCCAGATATTACAATGCTAAAACTGATGATTGCATCAGACAACTCAGCCCAAGGAATCGGAGAAGTGTGTGCCGGTATCATTGAGCAATCCAATCTCAAGCCACACGATTTTTTCAATCGACTACAAGTTCTCGATGGTGATTTAGGCAGCTGCTCAAACGTTCTCAGTCTCCGAAACCAACGAGTACCAGGTATGAATGAGATCGATAGTCTTTCAAACTTGCTCACTCTCCTAGGTGGTTCACACACCCTATGGAATATCGGACTGGCCATACTTGAATTGCATTATGGAAACACATCCGATTCACGTGATTGTGGCGCTTGGCGATGGCTTGATGGACTTGGTATCCCATTTAGTAAGTCTCTTGACAAGAAAGACTTCACTTTGATGATTTCAAACATGGAAAAAATCCATGAGGCAACTATTCTGCACTGCATCATGTACGTTTCTTTGTTTATTGCATAAAAGAATAGATAAATTTCTTATTTCATATACTTTTGAAGGCTTGTGATGGGTATTCAAGATCGATCGTTGGAAGACGAGCTTGTTCAGATACCAAGTCAACGGATCGAACATATTGTTGAATTAACAGTTGAACTGTTCTTTAGTGCTCAAGCGAAGTTGGCTGCAAGCAAATTAGAATCACACAAGCTTTCAAATCTCCTCAGACGACTCAGCGACTTTGCTTCAATCGTCGAAGGCAATCGGGCAATGAAATCAGGTGACATTGGCAGAGTAATGAACATGTGGAAAAGGTGGTCGGTCATTGCAATTGGAGTGAAGAAACTTCGACAATATTCGATTCAACTTCCCCGCATGATCATTCTAATAAATGAGATCTTACCACGTGGTCTAGCAAAAGTCATCCTTCATTCCCTCTTTGTCGCTCCTGGTGGAAGGCAACATCACTTTGTTGCAAAGGATCATTTCCTCGAAAACCAAAACTATTGGCTAAAGTACTTTTTTAACCACACTGGAAAAGGAACGGAAATAGATAGACTGAAGGATGTATTCTCTGTAAATGTAACTTTGGTAAGTTTTTGAATAATAACATGAAAAAGAGGAAAGCTTATATCTGATGCTTTTGCTTAGTTACATGAGTTGATACAGAAACTCGCTGATGATTCAGGAACTGTTAAGAGTCATCAATCACACCATAATCGAATTGATCTCAAATCTATGAACAACTGCCTTCGAATGACCAGACAGAATGATGTATGTGGTCTTGAGCCAAAGATAGGAGAATACTTTCCGGATATTATCAACGACTTTTACCACGAAGGTCTACAAAAAATCTTATCAGATTTCGAAGATCCATGTCCATCATCGAATTTAAATCGATTACTTCCCACGCCAATTGTAAACTGGCCAGACGAAGCCTCACAAAATTCTGATAGTCAATCCAATCCTAGTATACAACATTCTCTTAGCGATTCAGACTTGGACAAATCAAATAGTGACAATTCCGAGATTTTATGACAAGGATACCCACCTTTTTCTCACTTTTGCAGTAGCAATTATTTTTTTTTCCCTCTACCTCGTCGTGAGGTGACCATCCCACCTCTTCCTTTGACTCGTCCCCGACCTCTTCCCCGGCCATTTCCTGAAGGGCCTGCTAAAGCTTCCTGTTCCACCACTTCTCTGTTTGCTGCAGCTTCCAATGCTTGCCTTTTGAAACCTTCTAAGATCGGCCTGTCGTTCTCCCACTTCCTCTTTGAATCTTCTTTTTTCTTCACTGCTGCTTTCTCTCTTTCAATTGTCTTTTCTTTTTTCTTCTCGGCCGCGATGCGTTTTTCTGATCGATCTTTTTCTTCTGCTGCCAACCGGTGCATAGTTTCGTCTTTTGTTTCGCGATTAGCTAGATCTCGCTTTCCTCTGGCTCTGGCATTAGCTTCTACCCTCTTCTGGTTCTTCTCGTTATTTAATTTGTTGATACGGTCGCTTTCCTCTCGGAGGTGTTGATCAAAGCGGTCTCCTTGTCGAAATTTCACAACACATTCATAGATAAGATCAAGTTGTCCATGTACAGGAGCACCACCCAGATCTTTCAAGATGTCTTGAGGCCGTTCAATGGTAGCTACATGTTGAGCAATCGAATGCGCCCGATCTAAACCAAAAAGGTCTTCAGGAAGGAAAGAAGCCGATTTTGGGAATTTCTTCCAGAAAAACACCTCGAACGCCTTGACGAGATGAACTGAGAATTCTTTAAGCACAGAGGTCAATTCTTTTGGTGCTGGCTTGCAGGGTTGGCGGGTTTTCTTTTGAACGAATGGATTGATAGTAGGTCTGGGCAAATTTTCTTTATCATTCACAACATCCGAGAAGTTTTTGTTGGTAAGTCTACAGATGTTTTGTGATAACGTTATAGCTCCTTCAGGATCGCAGTTTGAGCATCGGCATTTTGGAAATCCCTGTTCAATCTCACGCTGCTCCTCATGTAAGTATCTCAAGTCGTCTTTAGACATAGGAATATGCCCGCATCTATCAATTTCAAAAGCAAGAACAAAACATCGCATTATAAGTCATCACCATCCTTGCAAGTAATTCTTTCAGTGCTTGTTGCTCACAAATTATCAAGAGAGAAAGCAATTCTCAGACAAACCGGCGTGATTGCTAATGCATCCATGCGGTTATCATTATTTTGTTCCTTTACATTCAAAAAATCGTCAACACAATTCTTCCCATTTTTTTGCTTCTTCTCCATAAACAGGATAGCAAGGCCGGGTCGACCATCTCGACCGCAGCGACCGATCATTTGACAAATATTTGAGGGGTCTGCTCGTCCCATGTGGATCACTTTCCGTACTTGTTTCCAATTCTGGCCTAATCCGAGGGCCATTGTGCAGGCGATGTATGGGAATTTTCCGCTAGTAAACTTTTCGACTGCATCCGCTTTAGAATAATCGCCTGTATTCGCGTGGTAACGACGTATCATTGAGCTTCGAGGGTTGTATTCCGCACCTGGCGTACCGCGCGCCTTGTTCACATTCTTCATCACTTGAAATGTGGCATTTCGCTGACCTGAGTAGATTAACGTTGGCGCAATGTTTTTACTGCGTGTTCCCTGGAGTTCGATCACGGGAATGAGGTCATGGCACGATTTCAAAGAGTGATTCATGGGTAAGCGCAAGATTCTGATTTCGGGTCGGGTCAATTCTGCTTTGACGAAAGTGATATTGTCTTCAGTAATTCTTAGGTTTTTGAGTATCGAGTCAACAGCTATGGGCCTGCAGGTCGCCGATAATAGAAGAAGCGGAACTCCCTCGGTGGCATTCAGCTGGGCAGCCAATTCGCCATACGATGGACGAAATACAGCAACATCTTCGGTTCGGCCATGAGAAGAGCTCTTCTTTGCCTTGCCGCTAGCAACTAGGCCCCATGTGTAGATCATTTGCGCCTCATCAATAACAATTGTGGCCAATCGATGCTGAAAATCGGGGTTGTAGTACACCTCCTTGAACAGGCTGTTGTTGAGAAACACCTCAGGACTCTACAGCAATTGACAGATCAGTATCCAACCTTGTATCCAAATATTAGTTAAACACGACGTACCAGATAAACAAAATTGAAAAACCCAGCTACAATCTTTCTTGCTATTTTCGCTTTAAACTGCATTTTTGTCAGATTAACAGCAGTGAACCCAGCTTGCTTCTTTTCCATAACCTGTTGCTCAAAGATTCAATCTATCAGACAGATATCCAACCTGTCATACATGAAATATAACAGACTCGTGCACACCTGATTATCTCTGAGTGCGTCCAAGGGGTTTAGTACCAACACGACAGGCTTTTTCTTCTTGTCAAACAATCGGAAGTACATTTCGGCAATGCGACTTTTTCCGAAACCAGTTCCAGCCAAAACAAAAGTATTGCGCCCTCGGACAAGAGAACAAACTGCTTTGACCTGGAGCGTTTTTGCTTGTTGTTTGTAAGTCAACAGCGCCTTCTCTTTGATGTGAGCTTCAAGTTGGGCTTGATCCTTTTGAAGCAGAGTATCGCAAACGGTGATTCTTTTCTTTTGGTTTGGCTGTTTATCGAATGCGGGATCCATGATTATACTAAGAATTTATGAAATACGATGTTGTGTAGGGTGATATTGCTGATGATCTCTGAGCGATGTCTGATTTTTTGGAGACGATCTCTTTCCTTAACTTACTGCGTCTCTTAATGATTTGGTCCATCTTTTTTTTCACTGTCTCTCTATGGGACGGTAGTCCCAACCGTTAACGGCTGATTGCTCTTTTGAAAAAAAAAACACAATTACAACTTGAGGCTCAAAAACACCTTAGAAAATTCTCATTCATGTAGTTCTGGATTATTTTGGAATCTGGCTTGATAGGATCCCAGTCCTCCATCTTGAGCACATCCACCTCAAATTTCTTGAGGAGAAATGTGGATGTGGTACCTTCTATCTCTTTCGGCGCAAAAAACAGCCGAAAAATCAGATTACGACACGCGAGCGTGTTCGTTTTTGGCACAAGCCTCTCCCGCACTTCGTGCGTTCGACGGAGAGGCTGAGCAAGCTAGGGCTTGCCCTCAATCAACATCAACTCCATTCACACTTTTGGCTGCCTCACCTACTACAAAGTCCCTGAAGAGAACAACAAAAAACTTGATCCCAGAGGCCATGCATCCATACTTCTATCCTAACTTTCCAATGGCAATGGATATAAAGTGTGGGACCTGGAGAATCAAGCTGTCATCAAATCCTGTGATGTCACCTTCATCAACACTAATTTTCCCTATGGTTCCCCTCTTTCCAAACTGACTGACCCCATCATGGTTGAACTCCCTTGGCCTATTCTTTCTGACTCCATCACAGGATCACACTCACCCGCTGCAGACATCACCTCAAATGAGACTCCAGTGGCAGGGACTCCATCACCATCTTCACCATCAACTTCTGATCTCCCGCCCCTGGACATTCCGCTGTGGTAAGCCAATCTTAAATAAGAGGCCCACAAAATAAAAGCTTCAAGCACATAATCAAGCCCTCTGAATGACAAGACCCTCAAGGATCAAGACAAGCCCCTTCTGGATAATTCAACCAACCTGTAACACCATGGATGTCACAAGACCAAGCCCCCTGGACAGAAACACTCTGGATTCCACATTACACTTCTCTATTACATAATCACTTCATGCAGCTTTACATCATCAATCTCCATTCAGCCTTCCACACTTGGCCCTTGCATGTGTTTCATTCTATTCCACTTTCACTCTAGCTTCATTTCCACTGTATATAAGGAGCCTTTTTTTCATGTTCATTTGTTCCTCATCAGATCCTGCCCCAGAAATCCAGATAACTGATCACCCTTCATTAGCCTAGTAGTTGCTCATCAAAATTTGGGATACTAGTATTATTCAGACAGAATGCATAAGACAGAAGACATACCCATCTCAAGAATTCTCCAAAGCCACACCTTTCCTTAAGAGTCCATACTCTTATCTTTTTCTTGTTATCTTACTCAACCCAGTTACCAGAGAGGCAGCCCATTAAAGCATCTTTCCCTCTCCAGCTCTATTCATCCCAAAGAGTAGTTCCACACTGTCAGCCTTGAGGTATATACATACCCATAGGCCTCAAAATATAAATAATAATAATAATAATTACAACTCATAGTCAAGTCTCAAGACTAGCCCAAGAAAAAAATATTATAAATAGTAAATTAATATTAAGCACAAAAATCTACATATAAAAGTATATATGGTCAAAAGCCTGAAAATGACCACAAAGGCCTTTAAAAATAAAAACTAACTTTTTTGCTTTACTTAGCAAATAAAAACAAACTTCATGTATTTACATTCCACTGTGTAACTACATACTCAAAAAACAAAGAATTCTGTAAAATAATCAATAACTAAAGAGTTACAGACATTTAAAGTTACAGAACCAAATCAGCTGATGACATAAACAAAGTTCAGTGGATGAAAACTCAAGATAAACAAGGTTCCAAGGCTTGTGCAACATGTACAACCTTGTAGTTCAGCAACTATAACCAAGTAACCAGTTTGGACCACATATTCTGAACCCTGACCAGCCACTTGGTCATGTAACCTGTTTTGTTCATCCCTAACCTTAATAACCTTTCTGAGCGAACTCAGAATATCCTCTTACATCAGCCATCCACCAGAATAACCCTGGTCCAGTTTGAAATTAATAGGGTTGAGAATTGGCCCATTTCAATCTGGCCCAAGTAGTTTAACCTGTTCTCAGCCAGTACATATCAGAATACCTCAACCAGATCCCTCCAAAATGGATTGGAGACAAAACAAAAAGTCTTACAGTTACAACTGTTTCAGCCTTTGGGAGACTGATAACCAAGGCCTTGGGCATGGCTTCCACCCAGCCAAACAAGCCCAAAGCATCAGTGTCATAGTGCAAAAGTGCACTGCAAGCCACCCTCAGGTGTGTGGCTATATAAGGACTCCTTTATTGAGTGCTTAAACCTCAAAAATTCACCCAATTCACCATATATACTACTATATACTTGAAGCCAGCATTTCCAACCATTTCTCTTATCAACCTTAGCATTCCAACCACAAAACAGAGCTCCTCTTTTACTGCTACCTTCAGCCTTAACCTGTAGCCTTTGCCCTTAAAAGATCCCAGCTCCTTATTCCTTTAAAATTGGCCATTTCTTACTTTCTGTTGCAGAAGTATTGCTCTAGAAATTGCCCAGGAATTCTCAACTCATCCAAAAGACCTTTTTGGACAAACTCCTTGTGATCTATTGTCTAACAAACAATTCACTTTTCCTCAATTCCTCCCTTGGAATTCAGAGTATTGATTAACATTCAACTCTAGGCCTCTTAACAAGTAATATTGTGAGGTTATAATTTTATTTGATTGTTTAACCAACAATCCCCTTTTTGTAAGTTTAAACACACTTTAAACTTTAAAAATTAATATAAAATCACTAACAAAATTTATTAGGACAGGAATAGTACTAGAATTTCCTTCTAGTTTCATATCCAGACCTTACACACACCGCTTCAACCATGCTTTGACACAAGACTCACAGCTTCCATCCACGCACCTGGCAATGCCCCTCGTGAAAAATTGCCAATCCCGTCACCTCCTGCCCCATCCTCGCCCAAGACAACAGGCAATCTGTCAGCCACAGAGCACATTTCACAGTACGTGAAATGTACCTAGTAACTGCAATAATAATAAATAATTGAATACTGGAAAATATTATAAATTGTTGTTAGAATAATAAATAAATAAATATGTATTTACATTTAATCTTAATTCATAATTTATATTTAATAATTCTATAACCAACTGTGAAATCCCCTTGAGTATTGTACATATAATATCACTAGGATTTCACAGAAATATCATTAGAATAAAGTATTAAAACATCATTTATTCTTATACATTATGTACATATTTTATAAGCCATAAATAATTACATATGTATAAAGAATCAGCTAGTAGAAGCGTGAAATGGATGAGGAATAAGCTATATAGATTTATCTGAAGCTTACCCATCCTTGATCACATCATCAGGGCATCAGATTGCATCATAACCCTCTTGGATGGCGTCATCAGGACCCTTTTGTGCTCTAATTCAAAGCTTGCATAATTCAAAGTAGCCTACACGAGAAAGGAGCCCAAATTCTACATGCAAGACTGAATTATGCATGAAGGACATGCATTTCTCATGATCACAAGCTTGCATAAGCAGAGTTACACGTATGCAACCAACTCTACAATTGCACAGCCCCTGCACAGTAACTGTAGCCTTTTCAATTACGTGAGAAATAGGCCACAAAACTCAATTATGCATGTATGACCTCATGTCCTAGGACCTTCCACCCATGCATAGCACTGCACAGCTGCAGCTCCCATCCTTACACAAAATTGTAGAGCTGCTAAGAAGCTCCCTAGTGCCCTGAGGGCCTCTCCTCTTCCCCTGAGCCCCCTGTAGAATATTTAAGGAGCTCAGATTCCTACCTTTTCCCCCCAGGAAATTCTAGTAGCATCAAACCAACACTTGTACAGTGATTATTAGTGATTCAACCCACCAATAACATTACAAACCTGCTACCTTAGACCTAAATAGATTTACTTTGCTCAGATTCAAGGCATTTCTACTTATCTCTATTGCATAAAGAATTATCCCCCAGGTTAAACAATTCTGGTCCTTAAGTGTTGATACACTTATTAATCTGAATTGTTGTTAAAAGATTTATCCCAAGTGAGTTGAAGAAGTCCTCACCTTGGAAGCCTATTAATCCATGCAAGAGGATTGATCCGGATGCCCAATTGAATAATTGGATGAGTCAGCAGTAGAAGTACCATTCCTCACTGACTCCTCCCTGTTTCTTTTACAGGTTGAGGGATTTAACCACGAATAAACCTTCTCACTTACCATTCTTGTTAAAACTCAGAGCACAACCCTTACAGGTTAGTAGCATAGAGGCTGACACAATCCCAAAGCCTCCAGTCCAGACTCTCCTGCAGATGCCGTCCCCATTACACTTCCTCCACTACCCCAATCTCCACCTGTGATTGCCTCTCCCCATGTGCCCTCTGACAGCAGCCCAGCACCTAGTATCCCAGTCCAAAATCAAGCTCCTCATTTCCCGCCAACTCATTGCTCTGGCAGAGAAAGGAAAGCCCCTGATTGGTGCGGGAACTGGTCCAAGCATGTCAAGGTAACAGAAGATCTAGATACCCCAAAAACGTGGAAACAGATGCTAAAATCCCCGGATAAGCAATGATGGCTCAAAGCGGCAGATGATGAGTTTGCCTCTCTCCTGGGCATGAACACCTGGCTTCTGGTTCCTTGTCCACAGAAGCGTAAGATCATCAAGTCAAAATGGGGCTTCAAGATAAAACACCGTCCCGACAGGTCAATACAAAAGCTGAAAGCCAGACTGGTTGCAATGGGATACTCCCAAATTCATGGCCTGGACTATGATGAGATATTTTCACCAACTGTTTGTCTCGAGACCCTACGTCTAATATGCAGCATTCTTGCCATTCGAGATTGGACTGGACGTCAAGTGAACTTCAAAATGGCCTTCCTCAATGGCCAC